CTTGGCCCACCAGAGAAACAAGGGAAATAATTAGGCAAATGTGTTGGTGCAGTTTGAATATAACAGGAGCAATTTGGCTTTGTCACCAGGTAAACAGCTCTTGCCTGACAGACACAAAAATCAGAGCTTTAGTGCTTCGGGATAGCTCAGGTGAGAGGCGCTTCTGCCCAGTGAGTTTATTTGGCTGACAGTGGGAAGCAGCCATTTCAGAAGGTGGTGGTGCTCAGGAGGGTGCAGACCAACTACTAATGTGTTCCAGCAGTCCCCAGGAAATCTGGGAGAGAGAAAGCTCAGGGCTTGCATCCTGCTTAAAACACCAGCAGCAACAGCAGCCCCCACAGGTCCTGCCCGTTTCCAGCTGTGGCTGCAGTGCAGCAGCTCGGATGCTCTGGTTCCTTTGGGATCCTCTTTCCCAACTCTGCCATCACCCAAAGGTGTTTTGCACTAAGACACATGAGCTGCTTCACCTCTCAGTGCTGAGGCTGTAACAGGCTTCCAGGTTCCCGGTGTTGTGAACCAGCAGAGTCTTCTGGGTGCTGTGGTTGACTGGACACGACGAGAAGTCCAGCTGGGCAGGGAAGTCCAAGACTGGGCAGGCACCAATGGCCCGGATTGGCACAGAGACCTTTTCCCCTTCACTGATGCAGACAAGCTCGTGGAAATGGTCCTGCAGGAAAAGAGACTGGCACAGCAATGAGGGCATTGAGTGCCATCCTCATGGCAGAAGAAAAAGTGCTGTTTTCTATGACCCTTTGTGGGCAAGAATTTACCTCTTCCACCCCAAAAATGACCACTAATTCATACTAATAAAGGCTGGAGAACAGAGCATGTGAAAAAGCATCATTTTTGCTCCGTTCCAGTGGGAAAGAATAAAGCTCTCTGGATCATCTTTTTGTTCCTCTGGTGTTTTCCATAATTAAACCCCTTCCACTGAACCTAGAGATGGCTAAACATCAACACCCCTCCCTGTCATTTCCCTCCTGTTCCATCTGCCTCTTCCCTTGTGAACATTCAGGAATAGGCACGGAGGGAAAGCACAGCCCTCTAGGCCCAGCTGCAGGGCCTGGCAGCACCACACTGTGCCAAGGTGTTTAACCACTGCAGGGCCTGGCAGCACCATGCCGTGCCAAGGTGTGACCAGCTCCAGGCTGCCTGTCCCCAGCCCAGAGCCGACCTCACAGCACGGGCTGGGCTAGAACCAGTGTGCAACAAATGCCCTGGCTTTAGAGAGAACGTTCCTCCAAACTCACCTTGCTCCCCTCGGGGGTGAAAAGGATGTTTATAGTACAAAATGAGCCCGGTGGGATCTGATGGCACACACCATTGGGGCCCACCAACTTGAAATAAGGTGAGCTGTCCATGGTGACCTTCACCAGCCGAGTAACCTGCAGGAAAGACACAAAATGGTGATTTTGC